TCATAGTTTCCTCCCATTCAGATTTCCCACATTATACTTGCTTTTAGTCATATCTTAGGGCTGGTTCATCTCTCCTCATGCTTCCAAGTTCTCTCCTGCCCATCTCTGCCCTTTGACTCCTCCCATTTGCTTCTTTCTCCTCCCCTCTGGACCAGGATGTTCCACCCTATTCTCTCTATTGCTCAGCATTGGCTGGTTGTTTTACTGACAATACAGAGAACAAATGGTGGCAGGTTTACACAAACTTGAGACAGGTGATGCTTAGAATAAACATCACAATACAATGTTCAAATTGAAACCTGAAAGTGGGGCAGAGAAATCAGTATTTGAATGAACAAGGGTAAATTGTATATATTCCACAAGAATATTATACCAACATACATCAGTTTGCAAAATAGACACACAGAATGTCATGCCGTATTTAAAATTTCTGGGCCAGCAGGATGGCTCAGCAGGTAAAGGCACTTGTTGCTTAATGATCTGAGTTTGACACCTGAGACCTACACAGTGGAGGAGAAAATAAGCTTCCACAAGTTGTCTTACCTCCACACTCATGTGGTAGCATGTGTCAAAGAGGCCCTGATGCTAAATAGGACATTGGTCCTAGGAGAACGCTTACTACTACTATTCTGCTAAATAGGCATAGCAATAAGACTACTCCTGATGACATATTAGTATCCTCATAGATATATTGTTCAACTCTTATCATAAAATCTTCTTCTTACATCAGATGCTAAATAACACAGACACCCACAACTGATCAACATGCAGAGGAGACTTTGTAATACTCATCCTTAAGTGGAATTTCTAGAGGAGTAGGCAGAAAAATTGTAAAAGCCAAAGGTAGATGACTTCAAGGAAGCAGCATTGTCCAGACATAACAGGGCAGATTCACATACTAACTTACAGAGACTGTGACAGCACACATAAGACCTGCTTAAGTCAAGCCAGACAACACTGCAATATGGAGCAGGGGAAGTAGGGCATGAAGTCCCACTCCTAACTAAGAAGCTATTGTCAATCAATAGCTGCCTGGAGAGGGAAGTCAGTTTTCCTCAATAGATTGATAGCTAGTGTATCCACACCTTCAATAATGCCACTCCCTATGAGTCTATGGTGGCTGTTTTCACTCAAACCACCACAATACTTCATCAAAATAATATATAATACTAAATAAGCATATGAAAAAGATACTTGTCTTCATTAGCCTTCATCGAGCTACAAGTGAAAATGATGAGGAGAAGATACAACTGCACACCTAATAGGATTACTACATTAAAAAATATTGCCTGTACGAGTGCTAAGAAGAATTTGGAGCAGCAGGAACTCACATACAATGTTCATAGGCATACTGAATAACACAGCATTTTAGAGAATAGTTTGCTTACAGAATTAAATATACAGTTATCATGTGATCAAGCAATCCCATGCCTAGGGACGAACCATGGGAAAAAAAATGAAAACTTACATTCATATGTAAACCTGTACATACACATATTTTAGAAGCTCTTAATTTCTAACAATGAAACAATTCCAAAATAGACTTTATGTAGTACAGGAACACAATTTATTCCCTCAGCAATAAGAGAAGGAATATTTCTACGTGCAACAACTTGGGTAAATCTCAAAGGTATTATGCCAAAGAAGTCAGTCTCGAAGTATTGCAAACCCAGTTCCATCTAGACAGCAGTCATGAAAACACAAAGACATAGTGACAAAGGGAAAAGTGAGATGGCAGAAGAGTGTGATGGCAAGAGAACAGCACAGGGGAGTTAAACAGACTGACCGGGGAACAGGGAGGGAACTGTTCTGTGTCTGTTTATGGTGGCGATAATGGTGATTAAGTGAATCTCTACCTTCATTAAAATACACAGAATGGACACAAATAAATAAAGCTGATGTTAAAAGTAAATCCCTCAATCTCTTGGTAGACACTTGTCTCAGTAAAAGAAACCAAAACAACATTGATCTCTTTATAAACAGTATTTCAAGACATCTCCACAAGGTCTTTCATATGAAAGCAAAGACTCCTCATTCTATTTCTGGATATCTACAGTATGAATCTTCATTCTGAAATATGCAGCCAGTCTAGAACTTACTAAATACAAGATTCTGTGTGCGGTGGCACAGATCTGTAATCTCAGCAGGGATGACTGCCGTGAGTATGAGGCTATCGTGGGCTATATATTGCAAGACACTGTCCCAAAAAAAAAAAAAAAAAGCAAGCAAGCAAGCAACAACACACACACACAAAAATGTTCCTAAAGTATAGCATCCTAAAAGTGTAGTAGCAAAGATTAATACGTTTATTTGGGACATGTTCTATGATAATAAAAGTTATTTATTGTTGGGGTTGCAATTTCTAGTTCTTAAAGTATAAATACATCATTCTTAAAATGAGCTATTTCCTAGCTTGTACGGTGGTGGCCGAAGTTGAGTCTGAACCACACAGTGAGAAAAGCCACCCTAGGTTACAGGATATCGTGCCTTAAACAGTAAAATAACAAGTTATTTATATTGATCAGGAAATAAAAGGTCACACCTTCAGCTTTGAGAATTACACTTTTTTCAGATATGTTATTTAATTTTTTGTCCACTTTAAAAAATTTTAATTGAAGTAGAATTATATCACTTTCTCCTCTTTCTTTTCCTCCAGCTACTCCTAGCTACTCTTTGAACTCCTTCCATGTCCTCCTATATTTGTACATGTGTATCTATATGTAACCATAAAACTCAAGAAAAAGAAGCTGACCCTTGTATCAGTGTGTAACAATAATAAAGGAAAGGAAGCTTTCTTGTTCCTTCCTACCCTCTTCCCCAAAAGTACATATGTCATTTTTAATCACTGCTTCTCAGTTTTCCTTCTCAGCTTGCAAGTTTAACGTTCAGAAGAGCAAAGAGGGGACAGGAAGGGTTGTGATGTGGAAGATGGGCATCAGGAACAGCTTCACACTGGAAGCTACCTTCTGTGGATCTACTCTGGGTAAATGTCCTCAATGACCTCTTCCTGAACAGTAAATCTAAGCTAAGCTTTGCTATAAGATTAATGATATGGACAGTTCAATAGTGAGCATGTTCTTGCCACTTAAATGCACACTTATGTTTGACCAGTCCCATAAACAAGAAAAATAGACTTCTACTGTGGTATCTCTGTCATCATTTCCATTTGTTTATAAAAGAATGTTCTGGAATGCACTGTTTTATTACTAATCTTCAAATATTTGTTGTTGTTTTTAAGAGAAGTCTTACAGATTTTTAAAACTTTGGAATTTCTGATGACATCAAGAAAAAGCAATACACTTAAAATGTTTTTATTTAATTCGTTGTTTGCAAAACAAAAATAGACTGGCTATTTTGCCTTGTTTATTTTTTTGGTCAGTTGGTTAATTTGCTCCTTTGTTATCATCAATTTATATTTTAAAGAGAGCTTTTGGTTCCTGCAACAAAAAAAAATGAAGCTATGCTCTGTACTCTCACATAATACATATTTTTATCCTATTAAGTATGCATTAGTGAAGTTAGAGTATTCTATCTTAAAATGATTTTAACACTGTTAGAAAATGTTTCAACTCTAGGTTCTATGGCTGTACCTGACTATAATCTCAGCACTCAAGAGACAAAGGCAGGCAGATCTTGAGTTCCAGGCAAGTACGGGTTACATAAAAGAGCTTTTCCCATTTTGAAAAAGGAAGCTGCTGGAAATTCATATATGTAATTTCTGCCTAGTTCTTTTTTTTATTTGTTTGTTTTTGTTTTGGGACAGAGTCTCTCTACATAGCCCTGGCTGTCCTGGAACTCACTATGTAGACTAGATTGACTTCAACCTCACAAAGATCCACCTACCTCTGTCTTCTGGGTTACTGGGACTAAATGCATATGCCACCATGCCTGGTGATCCGCTATGTTTTTATGTGAACTAAAACTGAGAAAATATCTATCATTCATGATGACAAACTTTTTTTTCATGGAATTTTTCTGAGAGTAGTCATATTTACTGCTAATAACTGGTATTCATACCGTAACTGTCTCACTGACTTTTCTTCTGCCTTGCAACACACACCGGTATACACTTGAATAAGCTTTGCCCCGGGTTATAGGAAAGAAATGAGCAAAAGTTTTAAGCTGTTAAATGACCTACTCCAGAGAAGAAAATCCAAAGGACAAAATGTAGAATCATACCCCTGTTTTATTTATAATGTCTCATAATTTAGATTTATCTTAAGAAGAAAAAAATTAGTAACTCATCTTCCAGATGAATACATTTTTTGATGTTTTAGGCAATAAACGAGGCACTCATTTCAGCACAAGAGACTTAGAGTCAATGGGATATCATTTTTGTGATTCTCTATTGGACTACTGTGATCCTGACCAGAGCAAGGTAAGTCAAATCAGTTTGGATAAGTTTCAGACTCAGGCACACAAATAACCTGTCTGCTGCTCTACAGCAGGGTTTCCCTCTTAACAGCCTAATCATTTCTGGGTTTGGATGTATGTAATTACCAAATTACTATTATTATGGATATAGCTAAACATTCAATTAGTTTAATTAGAAAACAGTTATTCTTATAATGAACTCGTAATTTTTTCTTAGTATTATCAGTGCCTTAAAGAATTAGAAGAAATGGAAAAACATATAAACTTGGAAAGATCCTTTGATGATTCAGATACTTCTCTAGTGGAAATTTCAATGGATGTAGAGTCTAGGTAAGTCAAGATCACTGAAGTAATTTGTTACATTGTTTTACTGAGCTTTTATCATAATACTTGGGTATTACTGTCAGTTTCACACAGAAACTTTTGTCTCGTACTAGGGAAAGTTTTCACAAGTGTACTATTTTGGTCAAATATATTAAGACTATATTTGGTTTATTCAATATAAGCACTGCTGTGTGCCATGTGTTTGCTATGTTAAAGACATGCCAAATTGTTTTGTATCCTTTCTCTCATTATAGCATTTTATGTCTACAGCAAAATTGAGTACACAGTAGAGAGGTTTCCCATATATCTCCCATTCCTATATGGTCAGAGCCTTCTCCTCCTGTTATCAATATCACAGGATGATATATATGTCATTAACAGACAGTTATCACCCAGAGTCCATAGTTTACATTAGCAGATACTCCAGTTAGAAAGTAGTTTCACATGCTGTGGGCTTGGATAAATTTATAATGACGTGTGTCCTACCATCATAGTATAAAACAGAGTAGCTTCACCATATAGGCTCATACATCCATTCATTCTTTCCCCTTAACAACTGGCAACCACAGGTCTCTATCATTGTCTACTTAGTTTTACCTTTTCCAGAATATCATTTGGTTTGGATTGTATAGTATATAAGCTTTTCAAACGGCCTTCTATAGCTTAGTAACATGCTTATAGAATTCCTCTGTCTTTTCATGGTATGATGGCACATTTATTTTTTAGCTTTGAATAGTATGCATTGTCGTATACCATGATTATCCACTCAACTGAAGAACATCTTAGTTGCTGGGCCAAGTGTCAGCATTATAAATAAAACATCTCTTAGCATCTGTGTGTAGGTTCTTCTGTGATATATCTGTATCTCTTTTGAGTAGAAATCAAGCAATGTGATTGCCAATGTAAAAGCGGAGTTTGTCGTGTTGTTGTACTATGTGTGACCTTTAGAGTGATAACACTAAGTGTTATAGATTTCACTTATAAAATTCCAACAGGCCATATGGTTATGCATTCAAATCATATAGAAGGGGCTTCTTTACTCAGAGACATTTAGAGTTTGCTTTGGTTTAGGTATATTTGTTCCTTTCAGCCTTGAGGTAAGTAAGATAGCTTCTCTTTACAATTAAATTTCAGATATTAGAAACTCTTAAAAGAGACCTACCCTCAATGAAATTTTAAGGTGACCGTGTAGCATTGTTGTTCTACAGTACAATAGTGTACTGCAGAACTCCAGAACTTACTCCTTCCTTAACTGAGCTTTGTGTCTATTAACTAGTAACTTCCATTTCTTTTTGCTTCTGCTCCTAATAACCACCATTCTCTGGTGCTATTAAGTTAGATTATTTTAGATACTTAATATAAGTAGAATTGTGAACTGTTAGTGCTATTATCTTATGAGCTCTAGATTTGGGTTCTTGGACTGAAACCCAGTACTGGTGTATATATCATTAGTTAGATTTATTATCAGACTACCTACTAGTACTGGATTTAGTTTTCTAAAGAACCCCCATACTGTTTTTTTCCAGTGAGTATTTTTTTTCATTCATTCATTTATTTAATCTCTTTATAACCCGATCCCAGCCACCTTCCTCATCTCCCAAGCCCATCCTCATGTCTCTGTTTCCCCATTTCCCTTTTCCTCCTCCTCAGAAAAGGGAAAGCCCCCAAGGGGTAACAACCCACCCTGGCAACTCAGTCACAGCAGGACTAAGAGCATCTTCTCCCACTGGGGCCTGACAAGGTAGCCCAGCTAGGGGAAAGGGATGCAGAAGTAGGCAACAGAGTCAGAGACAGCCCCTACTCCCCTTGTAAGGGGAATCCACATGATGACCACACTACACATCGGCTACATGTATAGAGGGTCTAGATCTAGCCTATGCATGCTTCTCTGGTTGGTAGTTCAGTCTTTGTGAGCCCCATGGGCCCAGGCTAGTTTACTCTGTAGGTCTTTTTGTGTCCTTGATCCTTCTGGCTTCCTCATTTCTTCGCCCACTCTTCCACAGAACTCCCAGAGCTTGGCCATTATCTTTGGGTCTCTGCATGTTTCCATCAGCTGCTGGATGAACACTGTCAGAAGACAGTTATGCTAGCCTCTTGTCTGCAAGCATAGTAGAGTATCATTAATAGTGACAGGGGTTGGCTCTGTCCCATGAGGTGGGTCTCAAGTTAGACCAGTCATTGTTTAGTTATTTCTTCAATCTCTGCTGTGTCTCTAGGCAGGATAATTTTGGAGTGGAAGGGTATTCTTTTAAATGTCTTTATTTTTTATTTATTACAGTGTATTCGTGGCAGCTCAGTCTCCAAGTGGATTCATAGTAAGGGGAACAAGGGCTGTCCCTGACATGAACTCAGTGGCTGGCTCTTTGATCACCTCCCCTTGAGGGAGAGGACAGCCTTACCAGACCACAGAGGAAGACAATACAGTTAGTCCTGATGAAATCTGATAGGCTAGGGTCAGATGGAAGGGGAGGAGGTCCTTCCCTATCAGTGGACTAGGGGAGGGGCATGGGAGGAGATGAGAGAGGGGACGAGGGAAGGGGCTAGAGCTGGGATACAAAGTGAAGTGGGTCGGGTCAAAGTTTTTATGAGTGGGCTTGTTCCCCCTCCCTCCACTGGAAGTCCCACTTGTCTACAGGAAATGAAAACTTCAGGCTCCTTAACCCCCAGCTGCTAGAAGTCTCACCTAGGGTCAACCCATAGACTCCCGGGAGCCTGCCTGGACAAATTTCCATTCTTTCTCCAGGTTATCCAGTACTTTATGGTTAATATCCACTTATAAATGAGTACATACCATGTATGTCTTTCTGAGTCTGGTTTACCTCACTCAAGATGATCTTTTCCAGTTCCATCCATTTGCATGCAAATTAAATGATGTCTTTGTTTTTAATAGCTGAGTAGTATTCTGTAATGTAAATATAGCACATTTTCCTTATCCATTATTCCGTTGAGGGACATCTACATTGTTTCCAGTTTCTTGCTATTACAAATGAAACTGCTGTTAACATAATTGAGAAAATGTCCTTGTTAAATGGTAGAGCATCTTTTGGGTATATGCCCAGGAATGACATAGCTGGGTCTCCAGGTAGATCTATTCCCAATTTTCTGAGAAACCTCCAGATTGATTTCCAAAGTGGTTTTACATGTTTTCACTCCCATCAGCAATGGAGGAGGTTCCCCTTGATCCACATTGTCACCAGAATTTGATGTCACTTGAGTTTTTGATCTTAGCCACTTTGACAGATGAAATCTCAGAGTCATTTTGATTTGCATTTCTCTGCTGACTAAGGACATTGAACATTTCTTTAAGCACTTCTTGGCCATTAGAGATTCCTTTGTAATTCTGTCCTCTAAATAGAATTCTCTGTTTAGCTCTGTACCCCAGTTTTTAATTGGATTATTGGTTTGTTGGTGTTTAATTTCCTGAGTTCTTTATATATTTTGGATATTAGACCTCTGAAGGGATATAGGGTTAGTGAAGATCTTTTCCCATTCTGTAGGCTTCTATTTGTCCTATTGACAGTGTTCTTTGCCTTGCAGAAGCTTTTCAGTTTCATGAGGTCACATTTGTTAATTGTTGAACTTAGTGTCTGAGCTGTTGGTGTTCTGTTTAGAAGATTGTCTCCTGTACCAATGAGTTCAAGGCTATTTTTCATTTTCTCTTCTATTAGATTAACTGTGTCAAGTTTTATGTTGACATCTTTGACCCACTTGGATTTGAGTTTTGTGCAGGTTGATAAATATGGATCTATTTGCATTCTTCTACATGCAGACATCCAGTTAGACCAGCACCATTTGTTGAAAATGCTTTCTTTTTTTCCACTGTATGATTTTGGCTTTTTTTTTTTTTTTTTTGTCAAAAATCAAGTGTCTGTAGGTGTGTGGGTTAATTTCTGGGTCTTTAATTTGATTTCATTGATCTACTTGTTTATTTTTATGCCAATACCCTGCTGTTTTCATTACTATTGCTTTGTAGTACAGCTTGAAATATCAGGGGTGGTGACACCTCTAGAAGTTCTTCTATTGTACAGGATTGTTATAGCTATCATTTTTTTTTAATTTATTCCTCATGAAGTTAAGATTTGCTCTTTCTAGGTCAGTAAAGAATTGTGTTAAAATTTTGATGGGAATTGCATTGAATCTGTAGATTGTTTTTGGTAAGGTGGCCATTTTTACTATTTTGATCCAACCGATCTATAAGCATGGGAAATCTTTCCATCTTCTGATATCTTCTTCAATTTCTTTCTCCAAAGACTTGAAGTGTTTGTCATACAGGTCTTTCACTTGCTTGGTTAGAGTTACACCAAGAAATTTCATATTATTTGTGGCTATTACAATAGGCATTGTTTCCCTAATTTCTTTCTTAGCCTGTTTATTGTTTATATAATGGAGGGCTACTTATTTTTTTTTAGTTAACTTTTGTATCCAGCCACTTTGCTGAAGGTGTTTATCAGCTGTAGGAGTTAACTGGTAGAATTTTGGGGATCACTTATGTATATTATAATATCATTTGCAAATAGCAATACTTCTTCTTTTTCCAATTTGTATATCCTTGATATCTTTTAGTTGTCTTATTGCTCTGCCAGGACTTCAAGTACTATGATGAATAGATATGGAGACAGTGAGCAGCCTTGCCTTGTCCCTGATTTTAGCAAAACTGCTTTAAGCTTCTCTCCACTTAATTTGATGTTGTCTATTTGCTCGTTGTATATTTCTTTTATTGTGTTTAGGTATGTACATTGTATCCCTGATCTCTCCAAGACTTTTAACAGGAAGGGGTGTTGGATTTTGTCAAATGCTGTTTAAGCATCTAATGACATCTCATGTTTTTTTTTCTTTCAGTTTGTTTATATGGTGTATTACATTGATGGATTTTTTTTATATTGAACCACCCATGCATCCCTGGGATGACGCCAACTTGATGGTTGATAACTTTGTATTCTTGGATTCGATTTTCTAGTATTTTATTCAGTACTTTGGAATCAATGTTCATGAGGGAAATTGTCCCG